AAGAGAAACTGCTGAACTTCAGTTCATTTGCAAATTTGACACCATCGGCTCAGGATTAAACAAAGACTGTGAATGGCTAGCCAACTACAAAAGCAGTTTCTCCTCCCTTGGTGTTCACACCTCAATTGCTAGAAGAGGGCCTTATCCTCCCTGATTGAACTAACCTCGTTATCTCTAGACTGATTCTTGCCTGCATATTTATACCTGCCTCTGGAAATTTCTACCACATGCATCTGACGAAGTGGGTATTCACCCACGAAAGCTTATGCTCCAGTACGTCTGTTAGTCTATAAGGGGCCACAGGACTCTTAGTCTGGATCTGTAAAAAGTGACAAACACAGCTACCCCTCTGACAGATTTGGCAAAGTCCAACTTAAAACCAAAACAAAAGCTATCTTCATTAATGTTTTTTGTCAGTCAGTTGTTGGAATCCCACAGGATCACCAAGAACTGTGATGGGGAGAGACAATGCATTTTTTGTCTCATTTACATGGTCAAAAGATTTGCAGTCAAGAAAAAGTTTTTATTTAGATCTTAAAATATGGCCACTCTGAACTCTAAGAGCATGATTCTGATCTGTTACACAGATGTAAATCAGGAATCAACGGAGTTATACCAAGAAACCCAGACAGATAAAGTCGGATTCAGGCTCTAACATCTCAAATGGTGAATTGAAATTTTCTTCTTCCCTGGTAGCCTCACAGTCACTTGCTGAACAAGCCTGTTTGTTTACAGAATGCAGTTTCCATTAAATTAGTTATTTTCCCTGTGGCTTTAAATCAAAGGCAATTTCAAAACAAGGGTGACTTCTTTTTAATGTACACCACTACCTCGATATAACGCGACCCGATATAACACGAATTTGGATATAACGTGGTAAAGCAGAGCTCCCGAGGGGCGGGGCTGTGCACTTCGGTGGATCAAAGCAAGTTCAATATAATGCGGTTTCACCTATAACGCAGTAAGATTTTTTTTGGCTCCCGAGGACAGCGTTATATCGAGGTAGAGGTGTAGTTACTTTCCCCTTTGGTAAAGGTGCAGCTACTGACCCAAGGCAACTGCTAACACAATGAAGGGACAATGGGATTTGGGTTTTTTTTCCAACACTCTTTCACATGTATCTCCTAAAAGATTGAAAATCAATTAGATGAAAATAAAAATACAGGACTTGAAAGGCTACAAAAGATAGACCTGAAAACGTAGAGATTTCCAGTTCTATGTCTGTCTTGGGGAGGACAGAGCACCTGACCACACAGTGAGAGCTGTAAGTGGCACTGGACCTATGCTGCAATTACAAAAAAGGAAATTGGCTCATGCCTACCTAATCACTACTGCTGTAGCTTAGAAGATGTGGAAATAAAAAAAATTACATTTTTGATAAATTCCAATTATTAAATAGGGTCCACTAAGTTTGCGTATACATTGGTTTTTAATAGTATTTCATAATTTTTTGTTTTTTATTAAGCCAGGGTTCTCTGGCTTTTCCATTCTGTGGGACACTTTGTAAGAGAGAGACCCTTTCATGGATCCCCCTCCCCTTCCCAATCCCTCTCTGCTTGTTTCCACAGATGTTTGACACAGTATAAAGTATTTTAGCAAGCTTTTATTTAAAAAATCCTCAGTTTTCTCATTAGAATTTCAAATTTTGGCCCCCCAAAAATGAGGACCATTTTCTAAGAAAATATTCATGAAGATTTTTCCCCAATTTTTGACCAGTTTTACTTATTTCTTCATTGTAAAAGACACAAGGAAGGGTTCTCTGGACTCAAGTTTGAGTACCTCTGTATCTATTGCGGTTCTCGTGCAATTTTCATTATATTTGGTGTTTTTTCTTAGTCAGCTGACTCAAGAAGCTGTGGATTTATGTGAGAATGTCAATGTTCATTTTTAGAAAAGGTAAGTTTCTATCCCTTCTGGTAGTGGAGAAAAGCTTGGAAATATGACCCAAGGGCTCCCTCAGAAACCAGCCAGCAAAGAAAAATGGGATATATTTTTTTAAAATCTCATGATTTTTGTAGGATTGACTAGTGATTTTTCAAATGCTTAAGGTTGGCAATACCAATCTCTGTCTCATGACTCCCTCTAGTCTTTTTGTCACTGGATTCCCCCAGTGTATCCCCTTTGCTTTTCCTCCCTGGGTAGTAACAATAGTCCACCACATTTCACCAATTGCTTATTCAGGTTCATTCAAATAGGCTTCTACTTCCTCCCTTTTGATGCCTGTCAGCTGATCAATCAGTGTCTGGCAGGAGTAGGGCTAGCTGCTAAGTAATCACTTCTAGCCTGTAGTTTCTTGTATTAACTCCTGTAGCAAAGGGACCATGGGCAGATCTTAACAGACCCCTAAACTTTCAAGCCTTTCCAAGAGTCATCAGGCCTTCCTTACGCCTTGTCAGATTTATACAAATGATCAGATAGAGCCTTTTGTGAACAATGCTCACTATTTGATAGATCTCACTTCCCCCAGGCCCATTCAGTACATTGGTGGCAGTTCATTTCATATGTAGTCTGTTGGTTTTGCACTGAGTAAATCTCTATTCAGATCTCAGGATTTATTCCTTTTTTAATACCAAGGACCAACCATGTAGAGCCTAGTTGGTGTCGTCTTTCCTTTTCCTGCTTTGGAGCCGCAGGAAGCTGTTTGACGATGCCAAGGAAATGTAAGAAACAGTCCAACCCTTCAAGAAAAGATAAAAATACAATTTCTTTGTGGAAAAAGGTATATGATTGCTGCTCCAAGTCTAGAAGGGTCTAACTGGATCAAACCTGCCAAATTGCTTTTGTGAGTCTTCTTCTACTGTGGGTTTCCATGCCACAAGTATCCACTACATTATAGTCTGCCCTCACAATGCCCATTGTGGATAAGTTTAACAGGTGAGGGATTTACGGTAGGGGACGCATGGTGAGCTTCATGGTCCACAGAGAAAGTGACACAAAATTATCTTGTTTCAGACCCTACCCAACATCTACCTGAGTTTGATTTACGGCAAAGGCAATGCAGTCTTCTGAACCAGTTTCGTACCAGACATTAATTTGTACTGCAGCAGAATTTCAATGGCGTTTTAGAGACAGTCAGTGTCAATGTGGGCAGCCACAAACCATGACACAGGGTTGAGGACTGCAAAATGACTCCACTTCCTGGAGGTCTTCGTGCCTTGAACATCGTGGCTTGGCTTGACCGAATTGCATACACCAAATAAATAATAAATGCCACAAGAACCAATCTGAGCATTTGCTGAATCGGCTCTTAAGCTGCCAAAGACACATTGCCCTAGATAACAGAAGTATATTTACTACCAGTGGTTATTCAGGCTATTAGAACTATTTAATGTACTAAAGTGCTTCTCTTGTTAAGATTCTATCAGCATTTCCATAGAAAACCCTTTATTTTCAAAGAGTTATCAAATGGTCCATATAAAATTGATGACCACTGAAATTTGTCATCCAGTCTTTTGGCTCAAAGCTACGTTCTTTCTTTTTGCAAATTCTGGTGAGAATTGTTTTGGCAGTTTTTCAGTTTCCACAGGGCAGTATGTTTTTTGGTTTTCGGTTTCAGATGTTTTTAGGAAAACTTGAAAGGGTAGAATGAAATTATCCTGATCATTAGCCTTTGGATATCTTTTTTTCCCTTGAAATTTAAAAAAACTGTTGGATACTTTTTATTTAGTAAAATGGCTAATTAAACCACCATTTATAAAATATATTACTTTTTTTAAAATGCCAAGTATTTTATATAATGTTTAATATGAAGGCACTCAACCAGGGTTAAAGGCTTTCAAAGTATGTACTGATACCTCAATGCCAATAAGGTGTATCACTTCAATGATCTGTCCGTCTAAGTACAGTATGTGTTGGTGTGATGTGTAATGAATTTTAAAGGACTCCTTACTGTGTGTTTATCACCATTAAATGAATGATGGACTCCTAATTATACAATCAGTTATTGCAGCAGCTAAAATGCTAATCTGTGAATTATAGCATGTCATTTTAGTGATTTGTGAGATATTATTACAGTATCAGTGATCTCTGAGAAACTGCAGTGAAGTAAGGACTGTTGCTGAATGTGCTGCCCCAAGAACATACTCTCCTGCATAGTCAGAAAGCTGAGAGAACTTCTGCTTTGCTGCTGCAACTCCCTTCCTCCCTCTCCCCCACTACCCTGAGCAGAGCCCAGTGAGGACAAACAGAATTTAGTCCTATGATTAATTACTTCAGATTCTATTCTAATCCGCTGTTAATTCAAACTGTTTGAACACTAGTGAGCTATATTTACATGACTGAAGTCACAAAGAAAGAGAAGCTACTGAAACATGATCTCTCGACCTAAAGGTCACTTATTTCAGCATAGACAAACACACATACAGGGCCAAACTTCGCTCATGGATACGCACACCAGATTCCCACTGAAGTCAGTAGGGAGTCATGTATATCCTAAGGCAGAATTGTGCATGACTTACAATATTCTACGTTAAGAACTTACATGCATCTTCACAGGGTTCAGGCCTTAGGGCGAAGCACAGAAAAAAAACTGACAAATTTTAAATTTTATTTTTTTTTACAAAAATAAACAATTTAAGGAACAAAAGTACAAAATTTTCTGAATGCACAAACTACAAAACAGTATGACATTGGTCACTTTTAGCATTTAGTTTATTGCTTTCACTGAAAGCAAATTCTCTAGACACACTATGCCTATAAAATGCATCTATTTATATAGAATTTAAGGCTAGTGTTCATTTTTCATTTCATTTGTTCTAAGAACTAGTAAGAAGCACCTTAGAAAACCAAGGATTTGAGGATACTACAAATGGAAAGTTTTCCATGGCAAGATTTTCATCAAAAATTATGTTGTTCAAACTGCTGGATTGCTTTGCTGATCTGTCAGTGAAATACCTTAGGGAATATTTTGGACAGTGATTAAGGCCTTGATTCAGCAAAACACTTAAATATATACTTAAAGCTATCCCTATTCAGCAAAGCACTTAAGCATGGACTTAAATCCCCCTGGCTTCAGTGGGACTACTCATGCTTAAAGTTGCCATATGCTTAAGTGCTTTGCTGGATCAGGGCCTAAACAACTGAAATATGGCTTTCTTAAATTAAAGAAATGTTTTCATAAACTTTTCAAACAAAATGAAAATTGGCTACATTTTTGAAATTATAAATATGGCTGAGTTCCATTGATGACAGGCCCATAGTATTTCTACAAATGTTTTTGGTCTTGCATATCTGATAACATTGACACAAATGTTGATTGTCTTCTATAACATTTGATATTTAGCTTTGTAACTGATAAGCTTCATTAACTCTGTAGTGATTGTACTTGTCTAAATAAATATCATGGCAGAGGACCCAGACTTCCTATGGAAATTATGAACTTCCAACTCTGTGCAAATGTGTACAGACCATTAACCTTGGTTAGAAAGACTAGATTACTGCTTTAAAACCCAACTTATATTCCAACAGTGTATCACATTTTGTATTTTTTGTTTTGTTTTAAAAATCACATTTTGAAAATGTTGTTGTATTGCACATTCATCCTGGTCATGCAGGTCATTTCTTTAAAGTTTTGCTTAGCACTCTAGATTAGAATGAGTAATAGTGCAATTATCTCTCCCTCCCGCAGACATCTTGTACGTAACAGCTGTCTATATTTATACACAAACAGCTCCTGTCATTTACAAGTCAGACTAAGCCACTTAAGCTGTCAGCCTGTCACTTTCACATATGTTATCTTGTCAGGATCAGGCACAATATGATTTGAGCCCATTTTGAAGAAGACAAGCTGCCGACCTAAACGGAACATGAAAGAAGAAAATAATTAGAAGTGATTACCAACATTTTGGTCTATTCCAAACACTGAAATCTCATATCCTGATTCTTTCTCTGCATTCTTTAAACTACACAGGAGGCCAAATTCTTCTCTCTTTCAAGCTGGTATAAATCTGGAGTCTTTCTGCTGAAGTCACAAGGGCCAAACTGCACTCTGTTACACCAACACTACATTGATTTCCATAGGTTTATTATGGATTCAAGCCAGAATCACTAAGAGCAGAGCTACTCCAGGTATATGCCAGGATAAGTGTGGTCAAGATTTGGCTCTCTGGGGTTGCCCAGGTGTAACTAAGAGAAGCATTTGAAGATTAAAATTGTATTAATCTGATTTATTTATAGAGTTGAAGGAGCTTCTATAAGTCATCCCATTGATTTTAATGGGCTCTGGATAACAACTTAAATGAAGGGCATTCACTAGATCATGCAAGAATATCTTCTTGGCCTGCTTGAACCTCCACAAAAAACGTATATATGCACCAAATTTGGCCTAGTCTGAAACACAGATGCTAAATAAGTCATCTCCTGTTGTTCAGCAGCTCAGATTTTTAAGTCAACTGTAGCAGATTTTCCACTCTTACCAACAAACTAGTACAACAAAAAACACTGAGTGATGGGCAGCCTGTACAGTTTCCATTACATAATTAATCCTTTAAGCCAGAGTTCATTTAAGGCTGTCCTTCAGAAAGGGGTTGGTTGTTGGTATTTGCTGGTGCCTCGCTAGCCCTTTCTGCTCTCATCATGCTTGTCGAACTAGGATCTTTCTTACATCCCCTCTATCTGGATGTGATCCCAGCATACTGAAATCCCTAGGGCACCCACTGTAATTGATAAAGTTGAGTCACTGGAATATACGCTACTGTGTCTTTAGGCAGTAATTCAACCTTCCCCTACCTTCTGCCTCAAGGTAATACAGCCAAATTATATTCCCACAAATCCTGCCTCTTCAGCTGGATAACATTTCCCTAAAAAACGTATCACATGCTGATCTGGATGCCAACAAATATGGTTTTAAATAATCAATAACTCATCAGAATGCCTGAGAATCAAGTGATAATGTAGCAGGAATTAAAGTATTATTTTAAAGAATTATTTTGATGGTGCTATTCAATTAAGGGAGCTGTTCCTTTCTTCCTACAAATCTCACCAGAGCTCAAGAAGGTGTTTTTAGTGGTATATTTGGTAAATCTGATTGTCATGTAATGGACAGTATGATATGATCAGCTAGAAAGTGTTGGCTTCTCAGGATAAGGCTTGCATAAGCCTGTGATATATATTCTTCGTTCTAGGTAGGCTCTGTTCATGTCTTTGGGGTGCACGATGGATCTGAAGACCCACAGCTGCATACCACACCTTACAGCTAATACCATCCTATGGACACCTTTTTTTTAAAAAGTGTCTATTGTGGGTGCCTCCAGTTTCGGGGTACCTGAGTGAGATAAAGAGACAGATTTTGGCCTGGTCTAAATTAACATAGCTCCACTGAAGTCAAAGCTACATTGATTTACACTAGCTGAGAATCAGATTTAGGGTGTCTCTAGCTGGACACCAGAAACTAAGCTACCAAACGAAGTGGCCACTTCTAAATATGTAAGCCTGCATCTTTGCTATCTACCCACAGTGGGGCACAATGCATGAGCAGTTAAAGTAGCACAATGTTATGCCCAGGTAGTGTTGTCATTTTTACATTTCTGCCTTAACCGTTTTACTCCCTTTCTAGTGATTTGTGTCACTACTGTACCATCATTTACATATAGATCTTAGTACACAATGACTCTGAAGATTAGAGCTGACTTTCCCAGAGCAGAGCACTACTGTGCAGAGAAGCTGAAGGAGATTTTTATTATGTAGTCATATTGCTTCTTTAAACTAGGGGTTTACAGTCTCAAGTATTTGTATGGCTCCCATTACCACAGTATCTGAGCCCCTCACAACACTCCTCTGAGCAGGGCCGGCTCTAGGCACCAGCAATACAAGCTGGTGCTTGGGGCGGCACATTTTTAGGGGCGGCATGGCCAGCGCCAGAATGCCACCCCTAAAAATGTGCCCCGGCCGCCCTAACTCACCTCCGCTGCCGCTCGCGTGCCACTTCTCCCCCTCCCTCCTAGGCTTGAGAGCCTGGGGGGAAGGGGCGGAGTTGAGGCGGGGCCGGGGGTGGGGTAATTAAAAAACAGGGGCGGGGGGGCGGCCAAAATTGGTTTTGCCTTGGGCGGCAAAAATCCTAGAGCCGGCCCTGCCTCTGAGGTAGGGAAGGGCTATCGTCCCCTCAGACAGGAACTCAGACAGGGAGGGTATATCTAGACTGCTTTATAAACCTGCAGCAGCAAATTTCAGTTACCAGGGCTACCAACAGGCTCACACCAAAACCAGCTGTGTACGTAGTGCAGCTCAGGCTCCAAAACTCACCCCCCACCGAGCTTCAGAGCCTGAGCTCCTGCCCAAGCCCAGACATCTCCACAGCTGTTTTTAGCGATGTAACACAAGTCTAAAATTCACTGCCACAGGTTTGCACACACAGTGTAGACATTTCTTCAGAAGCGAAGTGACTTACCCAAGCTCACCCAGGAAGTCTATGACAGAGCAGAGATTTAACCCCAGCTCTCCCAAATCCTAGGATGGTGCCCTAGCAACTGAACTATCCTTTGTCTCAGAAGGTTGTGCCAACTCTCCTTACCAACAAACTGCATCTAAACCAGAACACCAGCTGCTTATTTATTACAGCTGACGACAGCACAGTATTTCTGTCAGGATCAGGACCCTCTTCTGTCTGCCAGAGGGTCATAGCTAAGTGATGGAAGGAGGGATGAGAGAACTCGTTTGGCCTAATTTCAAACCAGATCATATGGACTTGAATGTTTCTTTCAAATTCAAATGTTGGGCCAAATCTTGCCTATCTTACTCATGTGAAAACTCCCAGGGAGGTCAAGTGCCTGTGATCCCTGTCCAGCTGCCCCCAATTGATCCCTTCATGCCAGGCTATTCTGAGTCAGTGCACAGACCCCCTCTATGGACCACAAGGAAAGTACAGCCTAGCCCACCTCCTCTGCTCAGCCCCAACTGAGGGTTGAGAGACATCCTCCCATCTCTAGCAACTATGCTCCCATGAGCCTACTCCAGTGTAACTCATTCACCAGATGGTTTCAAAACCATATATATTTAGATGGGCCAGTAGCTTGTTTTGGATTATTAGCACCAGCTGCTGCATTTGTTCAATAGCACCGGTTACCTGTCCACGTTGTCTGGTTGGTCAGGACAAAAGCTTTGCACTGGGAGTGATTCTCGCAGACCTCGATGGCTTCGCCGACATCGAACACAGAGAGGAGGCAGCCCTTGTGATGGTAAGAAGGCCAGCACCTGTAGTTCTCATCGGGAATAGCAGCTTCAGGTATCTGTTGGTACTCTGCAAAAACCAGAGCTAAACAATCAGTTGGAAAGCTCTTCTGAAAGGGTTTGTCAAAGTGCCGGGAGGGTGGGAGAGAGAAGGCGTATGAAGGGACATCTCTCATAATCTATCACATTAGATTTTCATCACCTCTGGTGCTCTCATTTATTTATTTATTTATAGAAAAGGATCTGTCCATAAAACTGTGCGTACACAAGATGTTTTTGCCTCTTTCCTGAGCAGGCACGATAGATTTTATGTGGGGTTTTACTGGGAGAATGTCCCATTCAATAAAGAGCATCCACTTGAATGAACTGATTCCCTGTCCTCGTTCTTAACACTGAATGGGATTGTCAGGGTGAGACCTGATCAGGCACTCCTGCCCCTCCCTCTCAGCCAGGAGAGCATGTTATTTCACTCTAGCTTCTTTAGAACATGAAGAAAAGACAGGCTTTTAATTAAGCAAACTTTTTTCCTTGCTCAGATTAACACAAAAGGGGAGTTGCTTGATGGGTCTCGGGGGGGAGGGAGGGGGAAGGAGGGACAAAAAGAGCCCATGAAGCATGTCAGCTTGGTTCTTGCCCAGCTCCTCTGCATTGCCCTGTGGATTACTTGGCTCCCTTGGCTGCCGTTCAGTCTCTCTTGCCTTTATGAGCTCCCTCTTGTTCTCTGTTCACAGCTCCTCTCAGTCTCCCAGCTGCTCTTGGGCTTCTCTGATGAATGCATCAGCAAAATTAAACTAATCATTTATAAATATTTCTACTTAGCTCCCAGAACACAGAAATAAAAAATCATTCTATAGTTATTCTAATTGCATCTATTACGGAAATTGTAGCTGGGTGCCCTACTTCTTTAGTCACTTTAGTTCAAGGATCTTTTGCTTGAAACTGCAAAGTTTCAGCCTGCTAATATTTCAGAGAGAGCTTTGTAAGGATGCTTCCAGTCCAACAGACAGTGTTTACTACAGACTTAACAGCCAACAGTTTGATTCATACACAATTACTCACCATTTAGGGTACATTCCATACTATTTATATGGAAAGTGAGTGAAATAATCAATATGCTCTTATGAGCCTGGTCAAAACAAAAATAAGACATACACCAACAGAAAACACCAACAGAAAACACAATAAGAGTCCAATCATGTCCCATTTAAGTCAATGGCAAAACTCCCATTAACTACCGTAGATGCAGGATCAGACCCCAGAATGGATTTTAAAAATGGGAAACAATTACCAAAAAAAAGTCTCCTTAAAAAGCTGCTGCATGAATAAGAACGGTCACTAGTCAGACATATGTCATTAGTATTAAATGTAATGGAATTATTTGACCAGAGCTACAGCAGAGAGACTGATTTGAGTTGATTTGTGCCTTCACTCTAAGGTCAATGAGACACTCCATGTAAGGCAAACAACGGGTCCAGTCTACCATTGCCCTGTTCCTTATGTAGACAATTATACCAGTGCCAACCAAATGCAAAGTGGATGTGAAACGCTCACCTTGCACCGGCGTGACTACAAAAGGTGCCAGGCAAAGGTGAATCAGTACACCTAAACGGACATCTGCAAGCAGGACGTACTTTTTAAGTAACGGAGGAAAATGAACATCATCTATAGTGCTGGAATGCCGGTAGGGATCAAGCCTTGGGCCCTTACAGGGAATTCTCCTCAGAGCTTGCCAAGCTCCTGACGACAGCGTCTAAGGTCAAACTCTAGCAGGCCTTGGCAGGAAGTCTGCATAGCAACCCCAACATCATGTGATATATCTTCACTATACAAACAAAAATCTGTCTCCGAGTAACCCACCTATCAAACTGCAATTTACTTTTTTAAAAACTCTCCTACAGGCAAATATGTTTTAAAAGTCTCTCTGCTACATATTACATTGTTTCATTTCTAACATGTTACTATATATTCAATGTTTCTCTCAACAGTTTCCCCCACTCCTTACCCAGGCTGCCCGGGGGTGGGGGGGGGCAAGTGGGGCAATTTGCCCCAGGCCCCGGGCCCCGCAGGGGCTCCCACGAGAATATAGTATTCTATAGTATTGCAACTTTTTTTTATGAAAGGGGCCTCCGAAATTGCTTTGCCCCAGACCCCCTGAATCCTCTGGGCGGCCCTGCTCCCTACCCTACCTACCATTACAATTCTTTAACCACAGTGGGCCAGAGCAGCTGAAGCTGTATTTCCTTTATTCATACATCTATCAAAAAAAAGCAGTTTTCATTCACTTTCAAAGAGACTGAGGGCTTGCTTTGACTGAGGGGTGTGAATTATAGATTGTGCTAATGTGTTGTGATTTAACTATCCCACGTAGACCCTGCTGGCGCAAATTCAAAAAGGTACCTAGATCGTGTTCATGTAAACATTAGAGTGAAGATAGTCCTTCTACTTGGAGCAGCTCTGAGGTGTGCAGCAGTGACCTCTTTGTCCAGTTCCTAGAGCAGGGAAGCCACAATGGTCTGCAAAAGTCTCTGAGCTCTGTACTAATGTAAATAGTGTCACAGTATATTTAGGAAATGATAATCCAAACCACAAAAATATACACAGAGGAAGACTGATACATTCCCTGGCTGAGAAGTTACTAAGCTTCCTTGCACAGTCCTGGCAGAGGCAGAGACATAGGAGGCCAATGGGAAGTGTGGAGGAACAGGGCCTCCATGTGGATAGCTCTGGCAGAACCCCAAGACTGGCACATTTCTCAAAACACCCACAGATTCTTGGGTTTTCCAGCAGGGGTTCTGGAACAATTTTTATAGTGGGGGGAGCTGAGAGCCATTGAACAAAACTGTAAACCTTATTTATAATGGAAACTACTTCAAGCCAGGGGGTGCGGGAGCATCCCCAGTTCCAGCACCTATGTTTTCCAATATGGTGAAAGTGTAGGGAGGAGGGGAAATGTGAGGGGATTGTCATGGGGTTCCCTTTCCATTGTGTGGGTTTTCCTGTGGAAAGGCTGATGTCCTAAGCATGATGCATTTCAGCAAGCACAATGTGAAGAGATGGGCAGTTTACTTTTTAAAAGCATTAAATTTTCCGACAGAAATCCTGATCTGATATCTACAACTGGACTTTGCATCAAACTTAGATCATTATGGATCATCTCCTGCTTCCACTGAAGTCAACAGAAAATCTCCCATTGGCTTCAGGGGCACCACGCTCGGGTCCCTAACATATGAGTACAGTAACTGCCAACTGGTGTTGCTGTCAAAGTGAGGACCATATGGCAACCTCGACAGCCACATCAAGACACTCTTTAGCTTCCTTCTCCATACATCACTTTTCCCCTTACCACTAATGTAATAACCCTTACTACATTTTCCCTTTAATCATTTTTTTCATGTCTATTTTTAAAATAGATGTGAGGGGGTGAGCTGCTCCTAAAGGCCAGCTGTGCCTCTGCCATAAGTGGCCATGCAGGGGAGGAACAGGAAAGGAGCCGTTGCCACTACTTGTGTGGCCTACAACAGGAAAGCCTAAATCATAGCCCTGAGTGTAGGCGCTGCTGTCAAGAGGCTTTGGTCCCCTGGCAGCATCTCACCTGAAAGAGAGCAGCAAGGATGAAGAGTAGGCTGAAATGTAGCTCCTTCCCCCCCTCCCCCCCTCTCTCCTGCCAGCAGAGCTTTCCAGCCTTGCAGAGGAACAAGTTTGCTGTACCCCTTTAAACTGGTGCCACAAATTATTCCTCTTCCTCAATTAGGGAGCTCCAGGAGACATCCTCTCCCCCCCCCACACCCCCCAGGGCAGTCAGGCCCATGTGGTTTTTTGGGTTATAGAAAATATCTTAAACTGCTTGTACCTAAACCTAGAAAAAACTCTAACTCATGACAACAATAACTGAATACTGGTCTGAGAAGTGAATCCTTTTCCAAAGATTCACCTTGTCTCAGAACATGATGATCTAGTATCTTTGTAATTTGCACAATGAAGAAAAATATCACGCGAATATCACGTGTATATCACTTCAAATCAAGGGTCCGATCCATAATCTTTACTTGTGTGAGTAATCCCATTGTGCTGTGAGTATTTGAAACCAAGACACTTTACTCACTTAAGTAGGGATAGCAGGATAAGGAGCCCTTACTTGAAGGCAATTGGAGAGTTACTTAATTAACAGGAGTTCTGACAACACTAATTGGTATGTCCAATTAAAAGGTAAGCTATGTATTTTAGACATACGCAAATGTAACCACTCAAATACATAATGAATCAAAATACTGAAAAACGTGGTACTAATTCAATGGTTCAGAGAGCATTCCTCTCCTATTCAAAACTTGCTCAATCTGAGATAAACTATCAAGATGAAAAATAAACCCACTAAGTGGTAACTTTCCAGTCACTTACTTTCTATCCATTTGTTTTTATGTTCATGTCACTCACCTAGCTCTTAGTGGTTCACTATGTAGGATATAGCAAGATAAAAATGTTACATAGCTCACTTGTACTTTGTTGTATGTATCAAAGAGAGAGGTTTGAATGAGATTTGTAGCCACATCAGGACTTTTTACCTGATGTGTGATATGGCTTAAGAAATCTAAGGTGCATTTCTCAAACAACTACTTTAAATGTCCATCCTGATCACAATGGTTCAAAATACTTGTTCTATTTAGAAATACCCTACTGATTTAAAGACAGCTTTAGCTCAGGTTTTTGCCTTCCCAAACCTGAAACTTACTTAAATAGAGTCCATGGAATTTGAAGGCTCACAGCAGTAAATCACATCATAAAAAGGTCAAAGTTCTGGTCGATTTCCAGACTAATGGTGTTTAAAACCAATAAATACTTGCCTAATACTATAAATGCAGCCATAAATTTACACTTTCACATACATATACACAATCTGACATAGCATATTTAAAGTCTATCACTGTAAAGTCAAGGAATAGATCAAAGAATTACACGGTGTTCATAAATAATTCCTTACCCAAAATATTCCTTTTCACTTGTACATATTTTTGTAAATGTTGAAGCAAATAAACTTTAACTACACTAGGCCGGATTCTGTTATCACTTATACCA